AAACAGTAAATATATAAATATAAAACACATGCACTGCCATGTAGAAATACCTACAACATACTTGTTTGTCTGAGGCAGCAGAACAGCAGAAAGACTTCAAGCTGCATGTTATGATATCTGCCCGGACAAGCATGTATGGTGCATTCTGTTGGCTTGACCTTGTGCAGTAGGTGCACATTAGTGACGCAGTAATAATGCACATTGTTTAAAGAAGAAAAATACAGTATACTTTATACTGTACTGTATATTGCAGTGCAATTTTCCATAACCCCTGAGTCACACTTCAGAGAAGATGGGCACAACAAATAAGAAAAACTGTTGTCACACCTTTGTAATAATGTTGCGCTTCACTAATAGCTGCAGAAAAATAGTTTGTATAGTCTGTATCTGTATAGCACACGGGCTTGTCACTCTTATGGGCTCTAACAAGATCTTTTTCAGTATTGACTATTGCTGGTGTAAACATGGCCAGTATCCCAGAAGTGGAAATTAATATTATGCGTTTTAACCTATGGCCTGCATCAGCTCCAGATTCAGATTCTAGGCACATTTTTCAGCAAAGTCCCCCTCTCATAATTTGGTTATTCAGATCCTACACATATAATGGAAATGAGTACACTAAGTAGTGTAGGGCCCTAGCTTTGGCTCACACTGCTTCCAAGTTTCAGGTTGGACTTGCAATCTGCCTCGAAACACTGGTGAAAGATGTCACCATCGTTTGCAATCTTTATTTGTGGTCTCCATCTCTACTTCCCTTTTTAAACTGACTAGAGTGCTGTCACTCTGTGGTTTGCCCTGTCTCTTGGGACCTTCTGGCAGTGAGGTGTACAGTAGCCGTTCTTTGTTAACACTTAGCTGCTGGAGAGATCCTTCTTCTGACGACAGACATGAAATGTTGGGTGGGATAAAGCCTAGTAAGGATATTAGCAAACTCCTGTCCGAAGAGATGGCTGCTGTCAAAAATGATTAACTATTACCAAATCGTTCAGGATGGGCAGGATCTGTGTGTGTGGCATTTCCCTGCTGGCATCATTTGATTTCCAGAGGTTTTCGAGTGTCACCTTGTCCGTCAGGTGTCTTACTAATGGGAACTACATGCACCTTCATTAGGGATGTTGAGGAGCAGGTGGTTTCATACTGTGCATACAATTTGTTGTTTCTTGGGAAGGACTAATATGATGGGTGTTGGGGAACTAAGCTTATCACAGCTTCCTGGCGTCAGCTGGAAGCAGCTGACACCAGGAAGTAACCCGAAGTATGATACATTGGACTGAAAATTGAGACCCTAGTCCTGTGTGAGGTAGGTCAGTTGACTCTGCTTGTTTAGCAAGTTATGATGGGGGAAGGGACACACCTCTCTGATTCTCAAGGTTGTCTGTTTCCTGGGGTCCAGTGGAACGCAAATTGTTAAGGGTACTGTGTGGTAGTTATTATGGCTGAGTCTGGCCTTGTGGCCCACTTAGCCCAGCCCTCTGGGACCAGTAATGTGTCCATTAATGAAAAGTGACATTGTACAGAATCCATTAGAGCCCATTAGAGTGCAAAGCTTGAGTGACACAGGACGTTGATATAATGTTGCAGTGCTAGTTCTAGCACAACCAGGTAGTGCCCTTTAACCAGTTTACATGCAGATGAAGTTGAAATTAGTTAGGAAGCTGTAAACTTAATAAATAGTTCATTTCTGTCCTCTTATTGGACCACTCTTTGTGTGGTTGAATAGGTTCATCTTGATTGGTTGGGCATCAACATTTTGAGTGTGATAATGCTTAAAGAGTCCATCAGAGGGCTTCAGTGTTTATAGAGCTGTCGTTACAATATGTAACCATTGTTACTAGACTGATAACAGTTAACCAACTGTTAACTGTAGCAAACCGTTTTTTTTTTTATCCACATGCATAATGAAGGAAAAAAAACATCCTACCAGGCCTACTAATACCAAGCCATTGCAAATGAACAGTACATATGTCTGTGCCAGCATGCTGATAAAAAGCTGCTACTTAAAAAAGTAATAACAGCTTAACAACCCAGGTATAAGAACAAAGTGCCTCTGGAAGATTATGGCCTTGGAAACTCTGAGTCTGAGACAGGTTTTTGGAGGCCAGTGGTGTGGAGGTTGGAGTCAGAAGGGGCTGCTGAGGAAGAGGAGGAGGAGATTGAAGAGGTTTCAGTTGGAAGAAGCATCAGTGCTGACTGTTGATGCAGGGTGATCTGTTGTTGTTGTTGTTGTTGTTGTTGTTGTTGAGTCTCTGTATGTCTTTGTACAAGCGATGCTGTAAGGCTGCCCTCGATGGGAGCATTCACGTTGGCCAAGCTCGACAGAGAGTCTTTGGATTCCTGAACGGCCCTCTCCAGTCCCTGGTTGGGGCCCTTCGAAGAAGATCGTAAAAAAATGTAATTGCATTAGATTTTTCGAACGTGTTTGTAATCTAGAACTAAATGATACAACATTTTGTATTTATTCATTGTTTTTTTCAACTTGGTCCCTTACTTTTAGTTAGTGTACAAAAAAGGTCCAGATTTCTATCAGAATAGTCAAATGCAAACATATGAATTGCACAAAAAATACATTATTGTAAAAATTAAAAAAAACCCTACTAAATAAGAACTAATATTAAAGGTGGGGTAGGTAAGTTTGAGAAACCGGCTCGAGATACACTTTTTGTTATATTCCATGGAATGCTCTTAACATCCCGAATGAATATCTTAAGTGCTTTGACAAAATATCCATCCAAAAATGTCACCTGTGGAAGCCGTAGTACTGTAAAAAGCACGACCAATAATTTGAGCCGGCCCGGCTAAAATAACTGGATGGCCTACCTGCCTGTCAGCCTTCCATCTGTGCACAAACTTATCTCGTGCCCTCATTGGTCATGTGCGCGTTCATGTGTGTTGGAGGAGGGGCTCTGTAAGGAAGTGGCAAGATTTTCTCCGGTTGTGTATTTCTAATTCTAAGGCGCACTCGAAGCTTGTTTCTCCGAAATTAACCTACCCCACCTTAAGTTCAACAGTTTCAAAAATCTATTTTACTCCCAGCAGAGCAGTCAGAATATCTGATTGATTTTGGCCAAGGACTATGATAAAACTAATACATAAAGCTTATTACATTTATCTTTGACTTTCTTTTTTCATGCGTTTTTAGATGTGTCTAAATATAAGAGTGAAGGGATAGACTGCAATCCATGATTAAGAGGCGCTACATTAATACGATTGAGTATCAATCATATTTTATAAAAACGACAAGTCAAATCAAGCCCAATCTAATTGGTTCTTAGCGTGATATACTGGAGCGTATATCCACGGGTAGAATTGTTAAGTTACTTTCACAACAGAGTCAGTATCCGCTCCGCTGTCTGAGAGAAAACTACAGTAGTAGCCGTTGGAGCTGAAAAGCAAACTGCTTCGCGTCGGGCCCGAACCACGCCGCCTTAGCTGTGATATATATGAGCATTATAGCCACGGTCCTGTCGTGAGCTATTGCTTAATTGTATTGATGTAACATGATATCAATATTATAATATAAAAACTATTCAGTTTATTAAGAAACCATAGGTACGATGCATGGAATCCCTGGACTGGAGAGAGCTTTATGTCATCTAGACTAATTCAGATCGGGTGTCAGACAGAGGCTGTGATTTAACTCCCTTGATTGTCGCAGACTTTCTGGCGAACACTACGGCGAGGGACCAACCAGATAACAGACAGTGTGGAGCAAAGCAATAAGAAAACAGCAGGGAGGCTTGTCAGGATTACAGGACACCGCCGCGGCATTGGTCTCCTTTAACACCCCTGCTGACTGTTGAGAATGTGATTGTGATGTAACCAGTGATGCTAGACTCCCCTATCTAGCAATATTTTATAATGCTGCCCTGCAAAACTGTGTCTTTAATGTGGTACTGACATGGCGGAACGTTACTGTTAACTTTTCTGCTGAGAAACTACTTCTTACAGAGTTCCTGTATTTGGCTTAGACCAAACGTTTGCAGACCGACTGAGCTGACTGAGACTTCACAGTGTTACATATAAACTCACTCAGCGAGTCCTTTACCTCCCTGAGCTGATGCTTTATCTCAGCTTCTCAGTTCGGGAGAGACTGTCGTCTGTAAGATTGCTTCTATAAATAACATCATAAACTAGAGCTGTCCAGCTCAAGCGAGAGATAACACGTTACAAAACGAGTATAATAATAGGTATCACAAACAAGAGGTGGTTGGGCGAGGAAAACGACGAAGTCGGGCCACACTTGAGGCTGAAGAGCGCCCGGATCCTGAGAGTGGAGGGTAAGAGAGATGAGAGGGCGGGCGTGAAAACCCATTGTGCCGGGCCGTAGGGATGAAAGACTCTGCTCATGCTAGGGAGTGATAATGGCTTTCCGTGGAGGTGTGATTTGAGCGTTATTGTGGAAATGTCTAAATCATACTTATGTTGTGCGAATCTAATTATGAGTAGAAGTTCACTCCAAGGCGGTCGTACTATTTAGAGGCGTCAGGCAACTGGGAGTAGCGCGTTCTTTCAGAGCGGGGGCGGCTATGGGGGGTAGGAGTAAGGGGATTAGACATTTATAAATGGTTTCAGGGTGAGCGGGCTGGTATTGATTATGAGGCAGCATTTTGTTCACTGCTAGATGAACGGTGTAGGGATATGGTAAAAGCAGCCACACGGAGTACGGCGTTCATTAACCAGGTGCAGCAAATATTTTTTGTCCAGCGTAGGTTTTAAGTATATTGTTGAAGGGGAATGCCAGCGCGCGCGCGCGGGTAACTGTTTTTCCGTCGGTGGGCGTAGTTTTTCACTACGTCAAGCAAGAAAACAGCACAAAAGCGCGAGAGGCGCGAGCACTGGCGGTTATTGATAGCAAGGGAGACGATGGTGGTTGTACTAGTGCAGTTGAGAAATGTCTTATTTTGGTAAGTAGAAAGGGGAGCGTTGCTGTTCCGAGGAACCGTGAGAGGGTCATTCTCGTTTCCTCGTTATAAGGTGTCAAAGGACCCCCTTGCGGTGTCATGTGGTCGGGTGTTTATCTAGGTGGATCTGCTGGTGCGAGGGGCTGTGCTGTAGAAGGACGTGTGGCGCTGAAGGTATGAGTCTTCCACGTACAGAAAGTGAACGAGGGCTTGGGGCCCCAATATGTATACACTCTGCAGAGCTGAGCTTCGTTGGCAATAGCATATATTGTTGAGATTAGAGGCGTGGCCCAGCTTTGTAGCGTGTCATGGCGAGTGGCTTTGGTCGCAGAGGGGCGGATACTCTTGTTTCAGTCGTTCAGTGGGGCCTCGGTTCTGAGGGGGAGAGTCAGTCTGCTTCAGGTAGATGTCAACGCCGCCCACTCGAGCGTCCGATCAACAGCGTTCTGCCAGGTGAGTTGCGTTATCGTCTGAGGATGGCGCGTATCTTGGCTACAGTTGCGAATTAAAGGTGACACGGGGGTTGC